ATATTTTAAAGTCTATACCATTGGCTAGATTAATGATATTAATAGCACCAATGACCCATATTACTCATCAAGAAAAGTGCACCCTCAAAGGGTTATGTATAAATAGCAGCTATAGGGATAACTCACACTTAATCATAAACCCTAATCTAAGAGCAATGAGTTCTTATGATAAGGGCCTGCTCAATGCTTGCCCTCATGAAACAATCACTGAAGACATGGGTGCTAGAACAAAGTGTGGTGGAGAAGTCAGATGGTGTCCAGCTACCAAAGACGATCATCCAGGGCAGCGGTTCTCAACATGTGGGTCGTGACCCCTTTGGGGGTTGGACAACCCTTTCACAGGGGTCGCCCAATTCAGAGCCATAGCAAAATTACACTTATGAAGTAACAACGAAAATAATTTTATGTTTGAGGGGTTACCACAACATGAGAACTGTATTAAAAGGTCACAGCATTAGAAAGCCTGAGAACCACTGATCCAGGGTCCTATGGGCTTTATTTAAAATAAGCAGCCATCTAAGTTAGATGTCAGTTAGGTCCACACAAAAGAAGCACACCAGCTAGTGTGATCAAAGATTATTAATAATAAAATCAGCGATCAGAGAGGGCTATATTAGAGCTTAAAATCTGAGCACCTGGTTTGAAGACGGCTATGGATGACAGTAAAATCCACTTATAGAGTCCACACATGGATTCCCACAGTCCAGTGACCAAAGTCATGAGAATAGGCTTGTCCTCGGATAGAATACATTGCAGATAGCGTTAGGTTAAAATTTAACCTCTGACCATGTGTTTCCCCTTTTGGCCCATTTTTAACTTGTTCTAGTTCTTATTTTCTGCTTCTTTCTGGATTGAGGTTTTCCTGTGTTTAACTTTGTTGTTGGTATCTTTTTAATATGATTTTCTTTATATGAAATTCAAGATTGGAGCCCTGGTAGTATAGTGGGTTATGTGTTGTACTGCAAACCACGAGGTCAGCAGTTTGCAACCACCAGCCACACCCCAGGAGAAACATAGACTTTCTAATCCCGTAAAGAGTTACGGTCCTGGAAACGCACAAGGGCAGTTCTATTCTGTCCAATATGGTCAATACGAGTCAGAATTGGTGAGGGTCTTGAATAAATATGTTCTTTGAACAACAGATTTTTGTAAGGTTATGAATCCATTGTCTCTCTGGAAGGAAGCACAGCCAGAGAGCTCCTTGAAAGCAAGGTGGCAAGACTTTGCATTGCATACCTCGGACAGTTCTCAGGACAGACTACCTGGAAAAGGACATCATGCTTGGTAAAGTAGAAGTCAGTCAAAAAGAGGAAGACCCTCAACAAGATGAACTGCCAAATGGCTGCAACAAGGGCTCAAATGTAACAATTGTGAGGGTGGCACGGGATGGCAGTGTTGACTTCTAATGTATTTGGGGTTGCTATGAATCAGAGCCAGATTGGGTACCTCACAACAGCTGGAGTCTCCAACGCTCCACTCTTTATGATAGCTAGAACAGACAGAAGATCATCAAGTACACTCGCTTC